CGCTATGGGTCGGAATTGACTTGACAGCACTTAACAACAACAACATGAGTTGGAAACGGAATCTATGGCACTTAACTTGACAGCACCACCACAAGGCATTGGGCCATATTCTTCACTAGATAATCTCATTTAATCCTTACAACAATGCAACACAATAGATACATTATTATTAGTCCACTTTTATAGGTGTGATGGTTAAGGTGATATGTCAACTTGGCTAGGCCATGATTCTCAGTAGTTTCGCAAATATTATGTAATTATCCTCCATCGTGTGATCTGACGTGAAAAGCCAATTACTTGAAAAGGGCTCGCGGCCTACATCCAATATATATGGATGCTCTGACAAAGCTCACACTGTCTCAATCCTGCATTCAACTTGCCATCCTCTGACTTCTGGGTCTTGGTATGTGAACCAGAGCCTGCTGTCTGACCTCCTGATTTGGGGTTCATCAGTCCCTACAACCACATGAGTCATGAGAAGCCTCCACTCTGGTGTGAGAAACACAGATTTGGGACTTGCTGACCTCTACAACTGTGTGAGCCACTTTCTTGAAATAAGTCTTTATATATGAGAGAGCTTCAAAAAGTTTTTGACAATACACAAGAAGAGGGAGGGGAATGGAAGTACAAGTCAGATGGGAGAACAATTAGGCAGGTCTGCATGGGCTAAGTGGGACAGAGGTAAATAATAATGTATGCACAACCTTGGAACAACAGGGGTCTGGGATACAGGGATGAAGCATGGTTTGAATGGGCAAAAGAGGGGAAATAATGTTAAGATGCTTGGCTGTCTTTTGAATCTTGGTTTCCCTTGTCTACCATTGTAAAATAGACACTTGACGAGGAGAGAAAGGAATAGCCAGAAACACCACTATAGAAAGTTTGTAAGTCCGTCTTCAGTCTATAACTGATTGGAATACGTAAAATGGGGCTAGAACTTGCCCGAAGAAGGAGGCTTCTTGTGGAGCCTTTGCATTGCATAAAACTATAGGAGGAATCCTGAACCCCATCCAGAATCTTCTAAGATGGGAAATTTCCACTTGAAAGGACAAGTAGACCAGCCTGGAGTGGCTAGAAGAACAGAAGATTATTTCTTGAAAGAAAGACTGGCAGGATAAATCAAAAAGAGTAACGGCAGTCCAACTGACTACTACGAGAACGAGCAAGTTGTTAGCTTGGGAGCCATCAAGGCAAGTAGTCAGGTCCCCTCAGGGCAAATCCCCTTCCAAGACTAAGACTCAAGGGGAATACATGAGCAGGCATGTGGTCTGGCTGATGATCACAACGAAGTTGTGAACTAAATCCTACCACATTTGATAGACTCCTGTGAACCCGGGTTGAGACCTGGTTGGCCAGCAGTATGGCAAGACCTGGGGACTCCTGGGCCCAGAGACAGTGACATGGCCACAGAGGACTTGAGCAGTGAGTGAAGCATCCAGCTGATATGAAGTGAGGGGAGATGTACAAGAACACCCATACATCCAGTTCACATGGCTTCAAGGGATGCATGATAAGAACTCGACTAGAAGAAGAAAGAGGAGGAAAAAAAGGAGTAATCTGCTAAAATTTGATAAACTTGACCTATATTTATGGATGTAGTAGCTCAAAAGAGGGGCGAGTCTTTACAGCAAGAATCACCCCCCTCCCCCTTCCCCCCTCCCCCTTCCCCCCTCCCCCTGGAACACAGGGTTGACAGAGATGGGCAACTTAGACATTGGCTACCCAAAAGGGGGGTGCTACAAAGGCAAGAAGTGACTGGCTTATAAGCTTTCAAGGGGGAGCCTAGTTCCAGAGGGCGTGGAGGAAGGTAGAATCTCCACTGAGTGGCTTCCAATCTGTTGGGACGGGGCTGATAAAAGGAGATGGGGATAGGACTCTTGTGGCACAATAGTGAGGGCTGAAAATGTAAAGGTAAACATTTTGTAATAAAAGGAGGGGAGTGGCTGACTTTGCAGTTAAGGAGAGAAGTTCCCTGGGACCATCAAGGGAGAGGAGCGGGAGCGAGACCCTACCCAGAGAAGCCGTGACGCCAGAAATTGAGGCAGAGAAGATGATGTGGAGAGATGGAGCAGCAGGGGACTCTGGACTCAGGGAGGGAGAGGGGCTGTGTGCTGATGGCTGGGGGGGGCAGGCTTGCAGGGTATACTCTTTGGTTGTTTGATGATGCATGAAGGGGATTGTAATCATGGCAATGAAACAAAATAACGATAGGATGAATGTAAAGCTGGTGTTCTCCCATTTAAAATTATCACATAATTCACAATAAAAACTTAACTCTATACAGCAACTTAACATTTCTAAGCCACAGTGTACATGTATATGAGAAGGCTTTAACAAATTGGTGGAAAACTTCCATTGTTCTTTAATTCCATTTTTCCACCAACTTTCTGAAATTCCCACAAAGATTCTGGACCTTAGAGATATAAAGTTAATTATTCGGGGACACACAGCTACTAAATGGAGGCCAGAACTTGAGCCCAGTCAGCGTGCATGACCCCAGAGTAGTTGCTTGCAGTAACTGGTTATGCTGCCTCTGTGAGAAGAGAAACTGTCTAGGGAACAAATCGATCTCAAGGAGCACGAGCCATCTGCTTGCTCCCCCAAACAAGCCTCTCCTTCCTACCTTTAGTGCCTTAGAGCCCACGGTGACTCCTGTCTGTAACATGCCATCTGCTATGCCCAATCGGTCCATGTTCAGGAGGAAAGGAGTCACCAGAGTGACAAATGTGGCTCCTGACCATTTCTTGAGAAAATTTAGAGCCCACGTTTCAGTGGATCCACCAACATTATCAAGGATAAAATCAAACCTGCAAAGGAAGAACAAAAACAAAAGCATCCTCCTCAGGCCCTTCCATGATGAGCTTTCTTCCCCGTCATTGCCAGATGACTATAGTGACAGCTAATCAGTCACCATGCAACATGCTATATCCAATGAGGGTGTGCAAAGAGGAGAAACAGCCACACTCACCCACTGGGTCTCTGGCTCTCCTCCAAGGTAAGGCACATCTGACTGTCCTTGTCTTGTCATCAAATTATATCTTCTAATACCTTAAGAATGACTTAAGCAAGTGGTTTCAACTAAGGCTGATTTTGCCCACTACCACCCCTGAGGGCAATATGCAGAGCCAGCTTTAGTTGTCACAACTAGAGGAGAAGGGGTGTTACTGGCACCTGGTAGGTAGAAGCCAGGGATGCTGCTTAACATACTACAAAACCAAACAGCTCTCCACAACAACAACACAATTATCCAGCTCAAAATGTTAATAGTTGAGAAACCATGGATAATAAGGTCAAGAAACCCTGACTTATGCTTTGCAGAAAACTGCAAAGATATCCATTGATCTAAAGCCAAAATGTTCTTTAGTGTACATGTATATACTTGAAAGAAAAGTAGATACAGCTCACTCTGTGGTGCAATGACTTACCTACTGGCATAGGTTAGAAGCCCTGGTGGTACAGTGGTTCAGCCCTTGGCTTCTAACTAAAAGGTTGGTGGTTCAAACCTATAAGCCATACCACACACATTTAAAAAAGGGGCAGTTCTACTCTGTCCTAAAGGGTTGCTATGTATCGGAACTAACTTGATGGCAATGAGCTAAGTTTTCAGTTTGAGTCGTGCTTGGTATATTGGGACTCCTAGCCAAATGATTGGGTGGAACTGTGCAAAAAAGGTGCCCATGGCCCACAAATGGGATGGGATCGCTGGGTGTGAGATCATGAAAACAAGGTGTATGGCACTCTAATGAGGGGATTAGTTAGTTCTGTTCTCCTGCTATATTTAAAAAGAGAGCCAATCCCAGAGCAGAAGAGGGACCTCACTATCACCAACCAAAGAAAGCCAGGAGTAGAATGTATCTTTTCAATCTGGGGTCCCTGTGCTGAGAACCTCCGAGACCCAGTTCAAGACAATGAGCAGCAGCAGCAGGGAAACAGCAGCAGCAGGACCAGGAAACTGGCAGAGACAGAGCAGTGGACTGCTCCTGTAAAGATTTACAGCCTTGGAAACCCTATGCAGGGTCGCTATGAGTCAGAAATGACTCCATGGCACATAACAACAACACTTCTCTAAAACACCCTGTAATTGTGAGTATTGTCTTGCGTTCTGTGTAGCCGTTGTAACAAATGATCGAACCCAGCAGAGAAGTAGAGAGTACTGTGGGAAGGATGACTGGTGTCAGAATTGTTAAGAAGGTCAGAGGCTGGAGGTTTGTCTGCCCTCCACCTCACAGGGGTCAGCCCTGGACAGACACTGATGAGTCTCTCTCTCCTGAAGTTAGATAAAGTCCGATGCTCCTTCACATAATTTTTTGCATGCTAGTCCCCCTTCCACAGTCTTACAGAATTCATCTTCCTCACAACTTAGAACGGGCTTCTATATTTTGGCCTCATGCACAGCATCAGAAAAACACATAAAAAGAAATCAATGGCCAAATCAACAGCTGTTCTCAATCTTCAATGCTGCTCCATCATGCCAAAAATTCAGTTATAATCAAGCCTGCAGAAACTGACAGACATTCAAACTCTAAAATCCACTCAAAAATGGCTATAACCACTGTTTTCTACTGAAAGGGATAAAAGCGCAGTGAAGCTTTTTACAGAAAACAAAGATCTTTTTCAAGAATGCATGCTTATAAATTAAGCACATTAATAGATGAATTCCTTTTTTGTAAATCCTTTTCCCTCTTCCAAATTCATGTAGATAAACTCAAACATCAGAGTTCTAAAACCAGTTCAGGCCAACTTTGTGGATCTTAAGTTTTTCATGGTATTAAATAAAGAAGGACAAATACATATGGAAGGGCATGAAACTCAGGAGAATGATTTTACTAGATGACCAGTCTCCTCATGTTTAAAGTGCCTACTTCATTCCAAAAATCAGAATAAACAAATACAGAGATCCTTATTTAAAGGCGACTGACAGGCAGCCTGGTCTCATGGAACAGGTACAGCCCAACACATAAGTCTGAGACCCGATTGTAGACCCAGCTCTCACGATGAATAGTTGAATGACCAGGACTCACAAATCCTCTACCCCTCATTTCCTCAACTGTAACATGACAGGGCTGAACTGAAGGATTTCAAAGTCCTTCCCACCCAAAGGTGCCTCAGAAGAAAAGCCTGGCAACCTACTTCTGAAAAATTAGCCACTGAAAATCCTGTGGAGCACAGCTTTTCTCGGACACCCAGAGGGTGATCATCATTTAGGGTCAACGCGATAGCAATTGGCTTGGTCCTGCTCTAAAATTCTAACATCCAAAATCGCTGCTATTTAAAAGAAGGAGGAAACTTATTCTACCTGGAGGCCAAACTACAGGTAGAAGTTACAAATATCAATTTTATCTAAAGCTGTCCATAACAAACCTAAGGCAGACCGAGTGGGGTGGGATGACCTTGGCTCCAGGTGCAGGTTGCTATTCTTAGAAGCACCTGAAGAAGCCTGATCTTGGAGACCTGTGGTGTCTTCACTTTCACAAGGCCCAGAGAGACCTAGGTCGCAACACAAAGGCAGGAGGGGAGCTGGCAAGATTTCTGTATGGAGTAGTGCTATGCTTCACATATGCCAAGTGTGTTCTTGCCATGGGGCCTTTACATCTGCTGTTATCTCCATCTAGAATGATTGTTCTTATCTTAGATTTCCTCAATAGTGAAACACAGACTTTATTAAGTTCTATATGCCAAGTTCTGTTCCCCGTGGTAAGGATGCAGCAATGAGTAAAGCAAACCAAAACAAAAGCCTCCCAGTCTCATGATTTGCTCCTACACATCACTGAGGCCTCTGCTCAAATGTCAACTCCTCAGGAAGACATTCACTAACCACCCTTTCTATAGTAGCCTCTCCCAATCACTGGTTCTCTACACGCTTTCTCTACATCAACTGTCTTCAAGCCCTTACTACTAAAACCTCCTCAATGAGAATATAAGGTCCATGGAAGTGGGACTTTGTCTTGCTCACCCCTGTATCCTCATACCTGACCTAAGAAGATATTCCATAAACAGCTGAATGAATAATAAGTTGGCTAGCTGCTTGGGGGGGGGGGGGGCACAGCCATAGTACTGCTGGGATTTGGGGGTGCTTGCTGAGAAAGACAAGGCAGAGTCAAATGGGGGTTTCCATTTTCTTTCAATTACTCATTAAAATAAAGTTCTTGCTTCTGAAAATGAATCAACAAATGGATAACCTTTGAATTAGAAACAGTTACTTTCCAAATGTCCTTCAGCTTTCCCCTCAGCTTCAATTTTTGTCTTGGCTAGATGAAAACTAGATGAGTAAGCAGTCCCTCGATTTCTGTCCTGAGCTACAGGATCATCAGAGCCTGAGAGAATCCTTCAATCTGCTTCTATTCAGCACACATTAGGTCACAGCACAGCCTTCAGATATGAAGAATAGCCGGTGTTCCCATTACCCATATTTATACTTACTTTGTTTCTCTGAAGCCAAAACACTGAAAGTGTGTTTAGTGCTAACCAGGGGCTTTCATGTGCTGCTCTATGTACTTCTGTGATGACAAATGCCCCAGAAGAGAACACACTTCCAATGTTTCCTTCAGATCTCTTATTACAAACCAGCAGTAAAGCTAAACTAAAATTAGCAAATGACTATCTAAGCAAAATATCTTCCTGAGTGCTTTTCACAGTGTGTCACTGTGCTCTTATTAAACCAGAAACCCCTCTATAGGACTCTGAATGACACGGCATGTTTTTATAGATTCTTCTCTATGATCTCAACATGACAAACCACCAAACCATCTCAGGGTCTTCATTACCTACTGCCCTTGTTTCCCTTGTCCCAGTGGGAACATGGTGCTAATACATACGGTTTTAAGGACTTCAACTGCTCTTCTACGGTTCCCGATTTGTAATCAATGATATCATCTGCACCAAGCTTCCTGACAAGTTCACTGGCATCCTGAGAGCAAACTGCTGTTACATGAGCACCCCATGCTTTCACCACCTGCCAAAAACAACCAAGAAGGGAAAACTAGGAAAACCGGCTGTACTCTAAAAAATGGTTGGCACCATGTGTACCTAGATCAGCTTAGTCTCCAGAAAGCTCTATGGGCCTTGTTTTGACAAGAACTATAGGAAACTATTTGTCAGAGGCTTGTAAAAATGATCAAACTTTTATTCACCAAGAAAATCTCAAGAAATTAATCTCATTTTCCCTGAAGTAGATAGCCAGTAGCCATATTGTCATGACATGCTAACCAATCCACTCAGAGAACGGCTCAGTGCCTCACCAGCATCAGAAGGGACAAGAGTCAGCAACCTTAGTTACTGCTCTCAACGATGACAGAGGTAAATGGCAAAATAATAATAATAAGGGCACAAGGCCTTTGGAAAATGACTATTTTAAATGTGTCTAGGACATAAAAATGAAATACTCGTTCATGTGTTAATACAGTCTTGAGTTAGTGCATGAAAGTAATCAGTTATCAGGAATAATATAGTAAAATAAAAGTGAATTTTAAAAGAGAAAGAAGAAAATAGGGGCATTTTATTTTCAAAACATGAATCAGGTCCTCTCCTTTAGAGTGAAAAGACCTAAACAAATGACTCCCAGGATTAAAAAGGCAGATGCCTTACATTCTCAAATAATAAGGAATAATTAGATATACACAAAAAGGGTAACTAAATTCTAATGCTATTCAGATAAGTAGCTAGAAGGCACCCCTACTTCAAAAACTGCTTTAATTCTTTTCTGTAATGGCAATTTCACAGAATTAAAGGGCATCGTTTTCAACTTAATTTGAGAATAACTATTTAAAGTTCACCAAGCAATTTTTGTACTGATAGTTATAGCTTATAAGAGACCAGCTGTTTTCTCAATGGGTTAATGTGCTGGACCGTAATATTGGTTTGAGCCGCAACATCGGCAGTTCAAGATCACCAGCCGTTCCTTGGAAACCCTATACACAGTCACTATGAGCTGAATCGACTTGAAGACACTTAACAACAATCCTAAGTAACAATTTCTTCAGCTTCCTTAATTGAAGTAACAAAAATTCACCACAATGTACGGGATCTATGATTGTTTTATCATGGTTGAAATCCCACTCCCTGGTACTCTTCAGTGCTAAATAAATATCTGTTAAGTAAAGCATTTTTAAACCACTCATAATTTATCTCATTTCTCACTTTCAGAAAGCAAGAGTTTATACCCTAGAAATCTGAGGGGAGTCCAAACATTTATGAATAACATCACCTATAGTTTATTATGTTTATGAATGAAAAACAAAGTAACTTGAGATTAATGATATGTTCTAAGTTAATTTTTTATATTGTGTGAGGTAAGGTTCATTGAGATTCATTTTATAAAATATATAAATATACAAACTGTCCCAGCAACATTTGTTGAAAAGACTTTTCTCTGACTTAATTGCCTTTCCCACACTTTGGTCCAAAGTCAATTGATCACTGATCTATATCCCTACGCCAATTCCATTCTATCTTGATTGTATTAAGTCTTCAAATCAAACAGTGTAAGTCTTCAAACTGTTCTTCTTAGTGAAAAGTATTTGGCTATTACACTTCCAAATAAATTTCAGAATCAGCTTATTTGTTTCTTGTAAAAAAGCCTGCAGCAATTTTGATGAAAAACTGCGTTGTGTTTTGACATTGGTTGTTTTCCTTATCAACTACAATGTTCATCCACCTGCACTGCCCGCAGTCTTTCTCCCTAAGAGCTTTCCTACACCTGTTATGCAGGACACCAATGGGCCCACTTAGACGCTAAAGCACTGGACAGGCTAACACTTCCGCTACATTAGAAAATTCTCCGCTTAAAAGAGTGGTGAAAGTACAGTGCATTCACCACACCTACCTCTTAGCTTTTAAGGAAATGTGATTTATATATTAATGTCAACACTAATCTTTCTCAGTCACAGGATAAGGATATTATGTTACCTGTACGGCAAAAGTCCCAACTCCACCAGAAGCACCCAGGATTAAAACACTACAATGTAAAAGAAAACACAATCAATGATAACCTTAAGCAAATATAACAGGGAAAAACAAAGAGGAAGATTTCAACAGATACCTGGCTCAAAGATACACAATCTTTAAGAATAAATAGTCATTCAGCTACCCAAGATTGTTTTAAAAGAGGATTTTTTTCTCTTATGTTCACCAAGAGACTATAAATGCTTAAAGTCAGACATTCTATGAACTCTTCTTTACCAGTTATTATTTTTTTTCAGTAGCTCACATGGAACCTGGCAACATCTATCTGCCTTAGGATTTTTCTAGGCGAAAACTGTGTTGTCGTTAAGTGCTGTTGAGATGGTTCCAACTCATAGTGACCCTGTATAGGATTTCCAAGGAGTGGCTGGTGAGTTTGAACTGCCGATCTTGTAGTTCAAAGGACCTTGCAGTCCAGAGCATTAACCCACAGCGCCACAGCTTCCTCTTTAAAAGGTCCTTTTTAGTCTGTTAGAATAGACCCAGTTGCTCCGGCAGAAAAAATCACATTTCTACCAAAGTGTCCTGTTTACGCGCTTCAACTTTGATACATATCTCAATTTGGCTTCCAGTCAAAGAAGGTAAATCTACCTATCAGCACAAACCTCATTGTGCTCATGTTTAGACCATGTTTACTACTACCCTCCTGCTACCCTACACAAGAGGTGCTTAGCTTCAGTTTATGGATGAGCTGGGCTTGACCAATGTCATTCCAAGGGGTAGTGAATCCTCCAGAAGTGAGAATTCCTTGAGATAACATGCAAAATCTACTGGGATTATACACTTGCACGATGGAGAGGAGAGAGACCTAGACCTATCTTGAAGTCCCAAAGTTTGTGACCCAAAAGATTTTTTGGCTAAGAAACACTACTTTACAAACACTTACTTTTTTCTTCTTCTTAGAATTAAGCTAGGCCACCTTGGACTACATGGGTACAGGTCTCCAGAAAATTGTTTTTACTAGATTGTTAATGTAATGAATCTAGGCTCAGGGACATTATAAAAAGTGAGTTTTTAAATAGTTGATGCTACATTAGCTAAGGAAACATTGTTGAGTGGATTCATCCTGAGAATTCTCTTTAGGAGTGCCCCAGGAAAACACTGGCCTGAGGACTAAATGGCGGGAGTAGCCGTGCTTTTATTTTTCTGTCACTCTGGGTTTGGTTTTGGTTTGGGGGACATTATGGAACTATTGATTGTGAGTTCCTCTTCGATTCTGCTGCTAAAAAGTCCCTCTCTCTGGTAAATACATACACTGGTCTTGTCTACAACCTTACCTCTACTTTGATTCCATTTGTTTCTATCTTACCCAAATCACAGAAGGCAGGCTGTCTCCCTTTAGATCTTCGAAGTCACTGCTAGCATTTCTGAAACCACTATTTATTCTGAAATTAACACCAGTAAATATGAGGAGGCTTCAAAACGTGTGTGGGACAATTCCATTATCTTTTCATTTCATTTTTCCATTAACTTTTTAAAGCTCCTTCATATAATTAAAACAATTCCTCCTGCAAATTCTTTCTAGAAGAATTAATTTTAATTTCACGGAATTATAACTTGTGAATATTTGTAATTTTATAAAATTTTAAAGATAACCTCTCCGAAACCCTTCAATTCATACACACATGTTTATAATTGGCTGTGTAGGAGTCCAGAGGCCTGGTGTGGCATTATAGGATAAACACTGGACCACAAGTTTAGTTTGAACTGTAAGGTTTGCAGGTCTGCAGTTCAAACTCATCAACACTTAACAACAACAACGTGTAGGATAAGCATTGGACTGCGAACCACAAGGTTGGCCGTTCAAGTCCACCAGCCACTCCACAGGAGTAAGATGAGGCTTTCTGTTCCTGCAAAGATTTAAAGCCTCAGAAACCCCACCCAGGATCGTTATTAATTGGAAATGACTCTAAAGCAACTTAACAACAACAAAGTGCTTCCCAAATAGGAACAAAACATTAAAATTGGCTCATAGGTCCATCCAAAATTGAATTCAGCTACGAAATACTTCAGTCTCTAGAAATACCAAGTTCAGAAATGTAACTAGTCAAACTCTCATTGAAGTTCTCCATCTAATCTTTATTTCAACTTTTTGATTTTTCCTCTCTATTTCTTGAACTAAACTCTGTACCTCAGCTATCTTGGTCCTGACTCTTTCCTCAAGAAAGAGTCTGCACATTGGCCCATTCCTCCAGGTTTGAATGCCTTCACTGCTTGCTAAGGGCTCCTTCCCCTTGAAGGCCTAAGTCCCAGCCTTCTTCCACTATTGAAAGTGCCCCTATACCTGATAAGTAAGCAGTCTATTGGGTCAATTGTCATATTGTTTTAACTTATAAGCACACATCCTGCTTATAAGCAGATCTGTTAGATAACTTTTAAGTGCTCAGGACAAAGACATCATGCTAGGTCCAGCAGTGGGCATACTACCCAAAATTTAACAGATGCCTGATCAATGTTCTTTATTTTTTAAAAATAAAAAATATATCATCCAAATCATTTTAACTTGCAATCAAGTTGCTATCACCTCAAGTGAGGTGAGTATATAAAAGACTGTACTGAAGTTTCTTCCAGTAAAGAAAAGCTTGAATGAATTTTTAATTCTCTTTGAGAATACTGGATTAAGAGGCTACCAAATTCTGGTGTGGTGCTACAGGATAAACATTGGATTGCTAACCCCAAGATTTGTGGTTCAAAACCACCAGCTGCTCCTCAGAAACCATATACAGGGTCACACTATGAGTTGGAGCCAACTCAATAGCATTTAACAATAACAGAATACACTGATTGTCACTTAATCACTTCCCAAATTCTTTTTTTTTTTTTTAATTCTTGGTCCAAAGGAGCTTCATTCCCAGGTAAAACAGCACAGGAGTGTGAAGAGGGCATGGTTCTACAACAATAGCTTCAGTTCCTGACACTGCCACTTGATGGCAGCCCAAAGTGCACAACAGGCAGTGTGCAGGCTGGGTGAAGTGCTTAGGCAGATGCTCTGGGTACCTATATCTCTCTGTCCTATAAACTCCACGCATGTACTTTTCTTCAAACAAAGTCTGAAAAAGAACAGCAGGCAAAATAGATTCATATACCAGCAACAGCTGGTGGATCCTTTATCGTGTGAAGTCCGGCTAGAGCTGAACCTTTTTTTTTTTTTGTGAATTGAGAGAAGGTTGACAGAGCAGATCATCAGCTGTACATATCAACAAATTGTACATATTGCTTCACTGCCATGATTGCAATCCGTCCATGTAATAACAGTAATCCCACTTCCTCCCTGTGGATCTTCTATTCCATCCTCCTCCCCAACCCTACTCAACTTTGTCTTTAGGGAAATGTCCTTTTGATTAAATGGTTGAGCAATCCATGATGAGCATACCTTACTAGTGTTGTTTACCTAACTTGATGGTACTTAACTGACTTGAAAGACTGACTTGATGGCACTTAACAACATACACCTATCTACCGCTTGGCTGAAAACTAGGCCATGAGTGTAATTTCCATTCCAGACCTGAATGCTGTTTGAGGGCTGTAGTCTCAAGTTCTTCCAGTCTCTTTCTGACCAGTAACCTGTTCTTTATTATAATTTTGAGTTTTAGTCCACATTGTCTCCCATTCTATCCAGGACCTTATAATGTTATACCTTTCAAAACAATTGGTAGTGGTAGCTGGGCACCATCTAGTTCTCCTGGTCTCAGAGTAGTAGAGGTTAATGCTCACATGTTCCATTAGTCTACAGGACTAATTGATTCCAAGCATCTTCAAACCTCATCACTCTTCTTTCTTCTATACAGAGAGAGCCCAGGAGTTGCACCTTAGATAGTTGCTCATGAGTTTCTATGATCCCATTCGCTGCTTACCGAAGTAGGATGTAGAACATTGTCTTTGTGTACTATGTTATGCCAACTGACCATGGTGTCCCCTGAGACTATGATCCTGAGCCTGCAGGCCCAGCAACTGGTTGAACAATTATTCTTATCACCTTCAAAGCACTTGCAGTGCAAAGGAAAAACACTGCTGTTGCTTACCCCGAATGGCCTTTCATTTAGGAACGCCACAGTTGGGATACTTTTTCTCTGATTTACTTTTATAATGGCACATTTTATATCTATTTTTTATCTCATTAAAGTAGAAGTCAATATGTTACAGGTAGTCCTATGGGATTTTGCTCTGATGACTTCCTGGTAAGTGGGTTGTGATAGAAGTTGAATACCTTTTTTAGTTTGTTTAATTTTTATTATTATTGCCTTTTATTATCAGTATATTTATAAGTCTAATCTTTGAACACCTGGGAGGGAACATGTGAGAATGATAATATCAGCAAATTATGCATTATAACACAATATGTAGTACATATTACTAAGATGCTAAACAAACAAACAAACAGTCCTACACATTGACTGTGGTTTGCTGTAACTCGAATACGTCATAAGGCAGGGAGGGACTACCTGTATAGGGAAGAAAGGAGTGCATATTCCTTACTAGTTTACACAGAGTCAGAGTCTAGGAACTACCTGATTTGTAAAGACTATCATTTAGAACTGCAAAGAATTTTAAGTACAATCTTCTCTTACAACTGAAGTCTACACATAGAGCTTCTTTAGAAGTCAGTAGGAACTGCACTTGTTATTGTTGTTGTTAAGCGTCATCGAGTCGGTTCCAAGTCATACTGGCCCCGTATAGGGTTTCTGATAAGTGGCTGGTGGGTCTGAAATGTCCATCTTATGGTTAGCAGTCCAGTGCTTATCCTACAGTGCCACACCGGGAACTGCACTTTTGTACATAAATGAAAAACTGCGGGAAAGAGTGGATGGTGATTATACTACACAGGTATTCTCAAACTCTAAAGTCTAATTTTTTTTTTTACCCAACTCTGAATTCTCCTTAAACACGTAGTAAAATAAGAAAGCAGTTTTAGCCTCTTTCTCATGACTGAGTCACTTTTTATTTAGCATTTGGGTACCTAAGTCTTCTATAATCACATTTTTCAGTATTACTACT